TTAGCCAGAGTGGGTGAGAAAATGTGGGTGACTGCGGATTTCATGCGGTGCCTGGGGGTATATTTCTCCCAAACGGAGGTACGTCCCGGGTTTTCCCGATAACCGCTCGTCGGGAGGGCCTAATCCTGAGCGTCTGTCTGACGGCACACCACTGGCGAGTGTGAGGGTCGGCGGCACGCTACAATATGTTTAGTTTTTAGTTTTTCTTTTGATAATGTGATTTGGCTGCAGTTGATGGGAGATAAAGGTGGACATCTCAAATTTGCCATAAGTGGTGATGATAATGTTATACATGTAGTGCTATGAGAAATGTTCCCTGCAGCATAGAGCATCAAGGGGTTGCATTGTGCATTGTGATTATTAGCAAATTGAAAAATCTACAATTTTGTTTGCAGTTGACTGTGCAAGACTATTTTTGGGTGTGGTTTGCTTTATCTGAAAGACTTCATTAAGGTTATTGAAATTTAATGTGAGCCCTCAAGAAACTACATATTTCGAAATTAATTTTGAGGGATCACCTCAACATGGAACAATTTTTTGTATGACAATCTGCTCAGTCTTAGCTCTTGCATCTATATTATCTTTTGGCTGAAAGGATTTTATTTTTGAGAAAATCAAGATCTGGTAACTATGGCCTAATGTTCAAATGGATTTATGTCAGGCAAATGCCTTATTTGCAGACTCATGAGAATCATTTCAAAAGTGTTTGTCTTGTATAAATTCAATCTCATATTTTGCAACATGAAGTATTATTTGCTATAACAGCAGACTTTGCACAGGAGCCAAGTTTAATATGGTCCACTTCCTCGGACTTCTCTTAGTGTCAACAAATAGAGCAGCAGGACTACAGGGTGGTGACTTTGGCGAGTGTGTGGTGGCTTAGACCCTCTTCCTGGCCATCCCTAAGGTCCAGACTGCAGGATCATATTTATGCATCCTCTGACAGTGATGAACTGTTAAAATTGAAGACGCACCTGCTTCACCAGTCAGTGCTGGAGGAAGAGGATGTGTTCCTCTGAGGAACTAATCTCAGGCCAAGGATTCATCAAGGGTCATCATGCAGCTGTAATCAGACAAGATGGTGGTAGTTTCGGCTCCCATGGTCAGCTGCACCCTCCTGACTCGGTTAATTTTAATGGAGGAATGATGGAGTCCCAGACATCTGCATACCTGTACCAAAGCTCATCTTAGCTTACTGCTTTCAGTTGTCAAGGTAAGGCGTCTGTTGTTTCTTATCTGGCAGTGGAATCATAATCTTTTGGAATACTGAATTGTGACTAATTTGGATCAGTGTTCAAATGATAAACCTTTTATGAATGAGTATAATGTATACGACTTGAGAGGATATGTTTCCTGATGAGTATTATATACATGTGGCTTACATGTTCCTGTATGTCCAACAAGACTTATAGTCACATTCTTGCATTTAAAGTTTTTAGTATGCCCGCCAAAAAATGTTTCAATTGCATTCCTATTGTAAATGTACATACATTTGAAGTACTTGATATTATTGACAAGATTTTGCAAAACTTTACATTGAATACAT